CCTGGGTCCATTACCGTGCAAAACCTCCATTAACTTTGTTTTTGATGCCACGACTAGCTAAAGAGCAAGAGTTCCACTTCATTTTTTAATCCTGCTCACAAAAGTAGCTGTGCCTGATTATTTCATTTTAATAGATGTGAGAGATGCAACAGGAGAGAAAGATCAGCCTGGCAGCAGCATTCATAACAGATTGTAGGAGGGCAGAACGGCTTCTGGGGAGACCAATTAGGAGAGAATTACAGCAGCATCTTGCGTAAGAAAGGGGCGCATGCATGCAATGTTTTTAAGGTGGAATCGACAGGTTTTAGCAAAAGACTGGACATGAGGTGAAAAGGTAAGACCAGGATCATAAAATGACGCCAAGACAGCGAGCTTGAGAAGATGCGGTGAGGCAGGTACCATCAACCTGCAGGGAGAGTGAAAGAGGAGCATCAGGCGGAAAAATAAGAAATTCTGTTTTAGAGAGATTGAGTTTCAGAAAGCAGAGGACATGGAAGAAAGACAATTGGTAACACTTTGTAGGACAGCAGGGGAGAAGTCAGGGAAGGAGAGATATATCTGGGTGTCATCAGCGTACAGGTGGTAGCGGAATCCAAACCTATTAATGAATTTGCCAAGACAAGCAGTATAGAGAGAGAACAAAAGGGGACCAAGAACTGAACCTTAAGGGACCCCGACTGAAACAGGACGAGGAGAGAAGGTGTCACTGGAAAAAAAGTAACTGAAAGACTGTTGGGAGAGATAGGAGGAGAACCATGAGATTGAAGAGTTAGAAGAAGGAGGCCATGATCAACAGTGTCAAAGGCAGCAGAGAGGCCAAGAAGAATTAGTATGAAGTAGTGGCCTTTGGATTTAGCTGCAATTAGATCCTTTTTAACTTTAATTAGAGCAGTCTCTGTGCAATGGAGGGTGCGGAATCCAGACTGAAGAGGGTCAAGGAGAGAGTTGGAATTGAGGAAGCAAGTCAGATGGGTAAAGACAAGTATTTCCAAAAACTTTGAGGAAAAAGGAAGCAGGGATATGGGATGATAGTTGGAAGGGGAAGTTGGGTCAAGAGATGTTTTTTTTGAGGACAGCTACAACAGTAGCATGTTTAAGGGGAGCTGGGACAACACCAGAAGAAAGAGAGCAGTTGAAGATGTGCGTTAACGACGACACCAGACAAGTGGCGAGAGATTTTAATGAGGTGGGACGGAATGGGATCAAGCAGATATGTGGTGGGACAAGAGGAAAGGAGAAGCGCACCCACCTCCTGCTAAGTAGCTGGAGAGAAGCTTTGGAGGGTAGGGATGGTATGGGTCAAGTGAGGTTGAGATAGAGATGTGAGTAGGGGGGAGAATGTATTCCTTAACTGTTAAATGTTGTTGGTAACAAGATTTACATGCAAAGCTATCAGCTAAAAGTTTAGTTAGGGAGGTAGCAACAGCAGGGTGAAGAAGAGAGTGGAATCTATTAAAGAGATGCCAAGGATTGTGGGAGCATGAACTATTGAGAGAGCAAAAGTATGACTGTTTAGCAAGGGTGAGGGCTGCGCTGTATGAACGCAAGACAAATTTATAATGCAGAAAGTCTGGCAAGGTGCGAGACTTCCTCCGGCAGCGTTCAGCTGAACAAGAGCATCTCTGCAGGTAGCGGGTTGACTTAGTGTGCCACGGTTGGAGGCGCGCCCTCCTTGATGCGCATGCTTGTAGAAAGGCTGCAGCGTCTAGGGCAGAGGTGGGGGTAGCATTATATGAGGAGATAGCCAGAGAGGGACAGGAGAAGGTAGGGATGGCTGCGAGTTCAGAAGGAATATCAGTTGAGAGCTGCTGGGGGTCAAGAGAATTCAGATTCCTCCTGAGTTGAGGGTGGTTAGGCTGAGGATATTGGGTGTGGGGGCACTCAAGAACAAATGATAGGAGGTGGTGGTCTGATAGCGGAAATGGAGTATTACAGAGATTGATAGATACCATAAAATACCATAAAAAGATTTGACTTATTAAAGTAAAGTACAACTCCCAGACTACCCCCACTACCTTTGTCAGGAGGCCAGAGATAAAAATGTGAGTTCTAAAGAGACAAAGTCAGAGTTCAGCACCCTGTGTCCCAGTGCTCATTCTTTGAGTGGATTGTGTGTGGAACTGAGAGGGGAGCAGTTTAATACTTTAAACCTTTAATAATTATACATGAGCTTTTTCAAACTGAAGCCAGTGGTGTACATATAGGGGCCACAACTGCGACCAGGCCCATCACTCCAGGGGCCTGGCCTCCCTGCTAACCCCTGCGACCGGGTACCAGCCGCCATATTTTGTGGCCCCGGCCTGCGCGAGAAACCGCCGGAGCCGCACGTTTGCTGTTAGGGCCACCCGATGGGTATGGATTTCCAGGGAGCCTGGGGGCTGCGGCACTTTAACCGTGATGAGATCACTGCTGGGAGGAAGTGACTGCCCCTGTCACTCCTCCCAGTTATCAGAGAGAGCCCGCGCGGGAGGAAGGAGAGGGAGTCACCACTGGACCGCAGGGAAAGTCACCCTCCTGCACCTAAAAGGTAGGAAACAGGAGGGTGACTTAAACGTTTTGTATATGTGTGTGTGTCTGTCTGTCTGTGTGTGTGTCTGTGTGTGTCTCTATGTATGTGTCTATGTGTGTATGTCTCTATGTAAGTGTGTGTGTGTGTGTCTGTCTGTCGGGTGAGGGGGGAAGCAGGGAGGGGGTCCATGGATCAGTTTCGCACCAGGGCCCCATGGATTTTGTGTATGCCACTGAGTGAAGCATAGGTGATTTTACAGATTTTTTCCAGTTGGGATAATTTGGCTTTAAATTTGAAATTCTCTTTGAATTTCACAAATTGCTCAGTTAGAAAAATTCTCCAAGTCAATTCTATTTTCAGATTGGTGATTTTAGACTTAAATTTGAAATTCACAGATATTCATTCCTAAGTAAATAACCCTTTTTAGCAAAGAAATCAAATGATTACGATAATCTAGACTTTTAGTACATATCTAGTTGTTAGTCATCATTTATTTGCAGATCTATATAATATTGTTGAAGGATAAGACATGGAGTTGCTTAGTAGGCTATTATTAACTTTGAATTGAGTTGAAACCAAAGGGGTCATTTTTTTTTTTGTTGCTATCCTGTACTTATTGTTTTTGGTAACTGCGGAAATGGGTGTTAGCACGGTTACAGGTCTGACTCGGTGCATATTTTGTAACATGTATGCATGCCTGGTCCACACCTCTGTGACAGGTGTGAGTGAGTGGCTTCTCTGAAAGCTCAGACTGAATATCTGGAGAAGCAAATAGCAACATTGAGCGAGATTGACAATATTGAAAGGGGTCAGAATTGTGGCAACTGACATTTAATGTGGATAAGTGCAAGATAATGCATCTTGGACGTAAAAACCCAAGGGCAGAGTACAGAATATTTGATAGAGTTCTAACCTCAACATATGAGGAAAGGGATTTAGGGGTGATTATTTCTGATGACTTAAAGGTAGGCAGACAATGTAATAGAGCAGCAGGAAATGCTAGCAGAATGCTTAGTTGTATAGGGAGAGGTATTAGCAGTAGAAAGAGGGAAGTGCTCATGCCATTGTACAGAACACTGGTGAGACCTCACTTGGAGTATTGTACACAGTACTGGAGACCGTATCTTTAGAAGGATATTGATACTTTACAGAGGGTTCAGAGAAGGGCTACTAAACTGGTTCATGGATTGCGAGATAAAACTTACCAGGAAAGGTTAAAGGATCTTAGCATGTATAGCTTGGAGGAAAGACGAGACAGGGGGGATATGATAGAAACATTTAAATATATAAAAGGAATCAACACAGTAAAGGAGGAGACTATATTTAAAAGAAGAAAAACTACCACAACAAGAGGACATAGTCTTAAATTAGAGGGACAAAAGTTTACAAATAATATCAGGAAGTATTACTTTACTGAGAGGGTAGTGGATGCATGGAATAGTCTTCCAGCTGAAGTGGTAGAGGTTAACACAGTAAAAGAGTTTAAGCATGTGTGGGATAGGCATAAGGCTATCCTAACTATAAGATAAGGCTAGGGACTAATGAAAGTTTTTAGAAAATTGGGCAGACTAGATGGGCCGAATGGTTCTTATCTGCCGTCACATTCTATGTTTCTATGTTTCTATGTTTCTATGTTTCTATGTTTCTATGTTTCTATGTCTGCTGCTCACTGAGCAGAGCTTAGTGGAGTGGGATAAGATAATACAGCTGGGGATTAGGCACGTAGCTGTGTGACAGTCTTGCGTGGTAGCAATGGGAGCCGGGGGAGAGGAAAGGTTAAGCTAGTCCTGATTTTGTGCAACCTAACAGATTTGCCCATTTGAGTGAAGATGTCGAGAGCATCAGCCCAGGACTAGCTGTACTGGAGGAAGATGTTCCTTGTAGTATGGGTGGGGTTGAGCATGTAAGGAAGACTAGGCAGGTAGTCGACTCTATTTTTAGAGAGTAGATAGGTCAAACAGTAGGTCTGATCATCTGGAGAGTTTGCTGTCTCCCGGGTGCTCAAGTCCGGCATGTTGCTGACACAGTGGATGGATTATTGCGAGGGGATGGGGATGACCTGGCTGTCATGGTCCATATTGGTACCAATCGTAAGTCAGAGGAAAATGGAGTATCTTAAAGTATGAGTTAAGGGAATGAGGAAGTAAACTGAAGAAAAGGACTTCCAAGGTAGTATTTTCAGAAATATTACTGAGGAGCATGCTACAGTAGAAAGGCAGCGGGAGATTAAGAAAGTTAATGCGAGGCTTAAGTCATGGGGCAGGAAGGAGGGTTTGTTGGATTTAGAGCACTGGGCCGATTTTGCTGTTGGGTACAATGTTTATAGCTGTGATGGATTGCACGTAAGCAGAAGAGGGTCTGCTGTGCTGGGGCATAGGATGGCTAGAAGGTTGGAGGAGATTTTAAACTAGTGGTGGGGGAAGGGACACAGAGATCTACAAAATAGAGATAGGACAGAAATGAGATGGACTTTAGCTCATCACAAAGTGGTGGAGATGGGAGGAGGGGCAAGCTCAGAGCAGCAGAGGTATGTAATAGTAATAACAAAAATTGTATAAAGTACAAGTGACTCGTGATAACATTAAATGTATGCTTACTAATGCAAGGAGCTTAAATCACAAAACGGGGAAACTAGTGTAGTGGCAATAGGGCACACTAAGCAATATGACATAATAGGCGTAACAGAAGCATAGTGAGAGGAGACACTGGGCAGTTAACTTAAATGGTTACACATTATTTAGGAAGGATAGAAAAACAAAACAAAAAAAAGGTGGTTGGGTATGTTTGTATGTAGAGTTTGATTGCTGGGATGTATGCACATATGCATATACAGTGTGCAGCACATAAATGCTGTAAGAAACACAAATACACACACTGACACATACACACTGACAGACAGACACACAGATACATACACAAACTCTGACAATCGGATGCACAAAAACAGGTGAACACACGAACAGCTAACACATATACACACACTGACAGATACACACTAAGATCCACACATATAGATAACATGTACACACCCAGATAACACACATAGACACATATACACACAGATAAAACATATACACACAAATAACACATGCACACATTACATATTTTGTAGCCACCCCCCTGCTTCCATACATTTTTAGTGCAGGAGGCATCTGGTTGAGTGTGATGGGAGTCTGGTCCAGGCTCTTCCTCCTATCTGATCCTGGCTCTCAGTGTCCCACCTCTCTGGTCCTCCCCTCTTTTCCATGCGGCTTGTGGTAAGCTGGAAGGAAGTGAATTGTTCTCACTTCCTACCAGCACATTTTAGGTGAGGTGAATGAGGTTGTACTGGCACCCGATGGGCCACCCGAGCCCACGGGCCCCAGTGGTAGTTCCGCCACTGTTGATGAGGAAAAACAGCTGTTCGAGCAAATTGGGAAATCTGCATATCTGGGTAACACGTTAATTATTGGAGATTTTAATTACCCAGACATAAACTGGAAGAGTAGGACTAGTTTTGCAAGGAGAAGCAGGTTTTTGAAGCAGGTTTTTGTACCTGTTAAATGAAACCTTCATATCACAACTGGCACAAGCACCAACGAGAAAGGACGCTTGTCTGGATCTGGTTATAACCAACAATGTTAATCTTTTGACCAACATTGAAGTAGGGGAGAAATAGTGATCACAATATGGTTTCTTTTTAAATAAATGTAAAAAAGCAAATGCACACAGGGTATACTAAAACATAATTTAAAACAGGCCAATTTCAATAAGAAAAGTGCAGCTTTACAACACATTGACTGGCATTAATGATTTAGTGATGAAAAACACTGAGGATAAATGGAATATCTTAAAACAAATTTTAGAAAAGTACATTTATAAGTATCTACTATTGAGTAATGAATATAAAAGAAACAAATTGAAACCAATGTGATTTGGTTGGAAAGTGAATCAAGAAATTAAAAATAAGTAAAGCTCATTTAAAGCATTATATAAGACAAATCCTATAAAAGAGATAAGGAGGGGACGGAGCCTGAACGCCAAAGAGACCGGTCGCAAGCGCTTACAGCTCCGAGCCTTACCCAGTGAAACTAACAGCTGAACTAACCCCCCTCACTCCCTCAAATGACAGAAGGTACCTAGAACTCACATGGGACGAAAATCCAAAAAAAGGTACCAAACAAGCCTGTCACAGGGCTCACCATCGGGGAGATGTGGAGGCAAACACGAGGCACCAGTGACCACAACATGGCGGCCCTGCATGGCGGGATGCTCGGACTTCTCTGAGGAACTCTCGGAGGAGCTAGAGGAGCACTACCCGCAGACTCCAGCCCCAGCAGGACTGGGAAAGACACTGAACCAGTAACCACGGCATTCCTCAAAGCACTATTAGAGCAGACCTCCGACAACACATCCACGCGGACGTTGTGGCACTGCGCGAGGACTTGCGAGGCCTGACAGGCCGCATTGACAAATTGGAAGGAACTGCCCAGTCCAACTCCCAGAGCATTGCCATGCTCCAGCAGGCCGCGCAGAACCTACAACTGCAGACCCTACAACTGCAGACCCAACAGTACAACTGCCGCCTGGCGGCACAAGAGGACTCCAGACGGACTCTTCCCCCAGGGCTCCACGCCAAACTCCTATGCTGCGGTCACCACGTAACCCAGTGAGACCCTCACAAACTCAGTCAGTTCACCACACAAAAGTTCCTGGCAATGGCTAACTCGTATAATTGGCAACCTGAAAACTGGGCAGACTCTCTTAAAAACATCCCAAGGGGTGTGGCCTGACCATCGAGGAGACTGGATGTGTCCAGTGGTGTATCCTGATTTTGTGCTGGCCTAGGCTGGGGGGGGGGTCTCCCTCTCCCTGGGGATCCAGTGGCTGCTTGGCTGCTGGGCGGTCGGCGCTGGCGAGGGAGCATTTTTCCCTGAGCGCTCTGCTCAGCTCCCTTGCGCACCGCAGAGTGATGCTGGGAGCCGGAATATGATGGCATCACTCTGCGGCGCGCGAGGGAGCTGAGAAGAGAGCTCACTAATCAGTGCTCCCTTGCTGCCCGACCGGATTGTTAGCCGCAAGGCTAACAAGACATTTGCCCTGGGCATTTGGGGGCGTCTCTTTTTGTCGCCCCCTGGAAAGTGCTGCTCACTAGAGTTCCACTCTAATTGCACTAAAAAAGCTAACAAAAGCAACCTTTTTTAAAGTTTATCTCCCACCTTGCTCCTGGACATGGAGAAGCAGGTGAAGAAAGGCATGGAGTCCGGCGGCACTGTCCTCGACCTCCTTACGGCGCCAAAGCAGTACCGGCCAGGGAGTCAAGATGGCGATGGAGCGTCCCCGCAGGCATCACCTTGTGCCGACAGAGAGGCCTCCTTCATCGAACGAGACAAAGTACTGGCTACACTCGCGGAGGTCCGAGCTTACCTCGCAGGAGAAATCGCCAAATCAACCGCGGTCCTGAAGGCAGACATAGGAGCCCTGGGAGAGCGTACCGCGAAGTTGGAGGAACGGATGGAGGCAACACAGGCCCACAACGCAGTGATCGACCGGGTGAACGGCATAACAGCCCACATGGTGGAAACAGACCTGGCCATAGAAGATATGGCAAACCGGTCGCGGCGGAATAATCTCAGAGTACGGGGCCTGCTGGAGGGAAACGATGAGGACCTGAGACCCTCCTGGGACAGCTTAGGACCCATGAACAGAAACACCAAATGACCCAGGCCCGAAGAGACATACAGGCAGCTGGACACGGTAAGAAGAAACATCCGTACATTAATGCTTGACGACACAGGGCCATGATCTTGTCCAAACAGATGTATTATGAAAAGGCTAACAAGATGGACACCCTCCTTGCCAGGACACTTCGACCCAGACAGGAAAGGTCACATGTCACAGCCATTAAACATCCAGACGGCACGATAAAATCAAAGCCAATAGACGTTGCTGAGGTCTTTGAGGACTTCTATAAACGATTATACAATCATACACCGGATGGGAATATCCACAATCGACAAGAGATGGACGACATTCTTAAATACTTACACGATCTTGGGATGACAAAATTGAACAGAGAGGCAATAAGAGACTTGCCGGCAGAAATCACTGAGGACGAAGTGGATAGAGCTATATCGGGCCTGAAAGGCAATAGCGCGTCGGGACCAGATGGCTTCGATGGCACGTATTATAAGACATTCAGGGAAGATCTCACACCTCAATTGGTGAGGCTATTCGATAGCCTGAGACAGGGTGGACACCTTAATCCCGACAAGTCCCTAGCTACCATCGTGTTGCTGCCCAAGCCAGGGAGAGATCCACTCCAGCCAGAAAACTACAGGCCCATATCGTTAATCAACCACGACTTGAAGATACTGGCAAGGATACAAGCCGATAGGTTGAATCCATTGTTGAATTCGCTCGAATTGTTAGATTTGGAAACAAGTGGCCACTGGGACGCCCACTTTGGTGTTCTCGATCGATGCCGAAAAAGCTTTTGATAGGGTCCAGTGGCAATTCCTGTTCTTACTGCTGACACACACGGGCTTACCCGAGGAATACGCATCTATCAAAAAAGCAATGTACCACAATGTACGGGCACAGGTCCAGATAACGGGAGCTCCAATGAAACCATTTAAGCTACACAACGGTACCAAGCAGGGGTGCCCACTTTCCCCCCTCCTCTTCGTTCTGGCACTAGAGCCTTTACTACAGGCGATACGCAGGCACACGAATATTAGGGGAGTTCAAGTAGGAGACAGAGAATTTACAGTCTCGGCCTACGCAGATGATGTTCTCCTAACCATCACAAATCCGATGGAGTCGATGGCAGCACTCCAGGAGGTAAAAAGGGTATATGGGGAGGTGTCCAGATATAAAGCGAATATACACAAATCCAGCGCAATGCCAATCGGACTAACGGCGCTGGATATGGACCGGATACGGGAAACCTACCAAGTAAGGATGGAAACTGACTTTCTGAAATACTTAGGCATTCACCTAACAGCAGACCCCGGACGTTTATACTCGGCCAATTACACTCAACAGCTCAGGGCATTAATAGGCGACCTAGAAAAGTGGACAAACAAGCCTATTTTGTGGATAGGACGGATCAATTCCATCAAAATGAACATCCTGCCGTGACCCCTATTTTTACTCCAAGCATTACCTGTACGTGTTACAAAAACGCAAGTGATACCACTACAAAGATCGATCAGGGACTTCATCTGGCAGAACAAGAGGCACAGAATCTCCAGACAAGTCCTATATAGACGCAAAGATAGAGGAGGGCTGGGTCTCTCGAACCTATACTTCTATTACATCGCGGTTCAACTGACGCAAGTAGTCATGTGGCATTCACCACTGGATGAAAGGAAGTGGGTGGAAATAAGAATCCATACTGGTGGGATCAGATATCCCGCAGTTCACGATGTGGGTCCCTAAGGAATGTAGACCCATGATACGAGTGACCTGTCCGGCCATAATCAACTCGCTACATATATGGGATACAACTAATGTCAAGTATGGGTTGGCATCATCACCCTCCCTCCTAACTCCACTATTTAGAAACCGGGAGTTCCAACCCGGAATGGCCCCCAGAGAATTCCGTAATATAGAAAAAAACAGATTACAGCGGATATGCCATCTATATCGAAATGGAGAGCTTGTCCAATTTGAAGACCTCCAGCAGGGTAATCACCTAACTCCAGCAGACTTTTTCCGATATATCCAGCTACTCTATTATACCAGAAGACCACATATCAGAGGTGTAGCCCAAGGGAAGCTGACATTCTACGAGAAATTGTGCCTAGATGGAGCGACACCTAAGGGATTGATCACACTCCTATACGCACATCTCAGTGCAGAAAATAAAGAATGGGGAAAACTGTCATACACGGATCAATGGGAGGCAGACCTAGGAGAGGTATTGGAAGGAATCGAATGGCAGGAGATATGGGAAGCGAATAAAAATGCCTCTATATGTGTCACACTCCAGGAACAGACATGGAAAACCATGTTCAGATGGTACACTGTAAAGCTTTTTAAAATGCACAAATTGGACACGGACGACTGTTGGAGGGGATGTGGAGCCCGAGGAACGTATTTACACATGTGGTGGGAAGGCACAAAGATACACAGTTTCTGGAAGGTGGTGGAGGATTTGCTGAAACAGATCTTTGATAGGCCCTTGGACATGGACCCATGGGTATACCTGTTAAACAGATCACTTGAAGGGTGGACCAGAAGAGAGCAGAAACTAGTACACAAGATCAAGTTAAGCGCACGTAGAGCAATAGCAACCAAATGGCTCTCACCTGAGGGACCAGAGTTCCAGGGGGTAATATCCAGGATTAGAGAATGTAGAATTATGGACGATCTGACAGCTAGGGTAGCGGGGACGACGGCAGCATTCCAAAGACTTTGGGAACCACGGGATAACAGCTTGGTGGGTTCAGGTGGAGACTGAGTGCGACCGGACAAGGGAGCGAAATCAGGATAGCAACAGAAGTCCCCCAGCCCCTCCTGAAGGAGATAGTCTCTGCAATATAGTGGAGGAGTAGTTGCCTCCCTCCCCCCCCCCTTTTTCTGATCCTAAACCCTTTTTCTTTTTTTTTTCTCATCTTTTCCTCTTAGACGATTGTCTTGTTTTTGTTTAATTTTTGTCTTTTTTTTTTTCTCTTCTCCCTTGTTTTTCAAGGGGATTGAATTTTCCTTTTGCCAGGCATGATCAAACGGTTGGAGGAACATGGAAGCCCATGAGCAAGTTTAGTTTCGTGAAAGTTCAGGGTTTTCCTATACTGCACTAGAGCCTGGCTCAAAAAACAAAAACCCCTCGGAGGGTGGCAGGTTTCATTTGGATCAAAGAATTAGCTTGTGCTGTATAATTATTATGCAAATTGTTACCAAGAGTGTATTCAAGCTGGCTTCTGCGCAAGCCCAAGTATTTTTACATGTATATTTGCTTTCCCTACCAAGCAAAAAATAAAGAATATAAAAAAAGAAAAAAATCCCAAGGTCACACCTGATCCTCACTGTAGATACCACAGGTATGCACTGCTCACTGTTCGTTGTGTACCATTTCGTTTTCCTGAGTGGCATACCAGGAGTACTTCCATTGTTAGATCACAACTACCCACGCATACACCAGGACTGGTGCTCACCCACCAAGAGATGTACAAATCTTTCACCGGGAGGGGAATTGGCCGGGAGCACACTGAACAGCCAGACGCAATGGAGTGCAATATGGTGAACCCATCCACATAAGACTCACATAGTGCTGGACTTCTGTTCTCAACCTCACTTTCAAGTTTTAGTTAAGTTGGTCTAGTGGATTTTAATGTTGTGGTTTTGGAACCAGGGGTGACTGCATGACCAGCAGGCTTAGCCTGAATGGGCCGCAAGTTAACAAGTATCAAGAGGATCATGACAACAAATACCCCCTCACAGGAGTATAGATACCACATTAACCACAGGTATGACAACACCTTTGAATCCCACATTGAACTCAGCCTCAGCGGGGTACCTAATACCATGGAAGGCCCTAATCCCCGACCTGCACGACAATTCAAATAGCTACGAACACTCTACATGTAACTTTTCCCATCGACACGACGTGCAGTCTAACCCACTCGGACATGGCACTAAGCCTATGGCACTCGCTACCCTGGCCCGGGTTACCCTTTCCCCTATAATACTCAAACTTACACCTTAATACGCAATATTACCCCCACTGCCAGAGACCAGTATGATGTCTGGAGTAAGGGCCAAAATCAGCGAGGCTCTCACACCCCGACTGACAGTAGGCATAACGCCTCGACGCGCTCATGACCCTATTATCACAAACTATATCCAACGAGACTTAGATTCAGCACTCGCAGTATATGAAGCATGGAAACTAAGCATAGTAACCTGGGTCGTGATAGCCTGAGCGAACATTGGGTAGAGAGGGATGGGTTAGCCAGACAGACTTAATCGTGTCTTTTCATTCGCCTCCCTCATTCAACAAATGCGAACCGCCCGGCTACCAATGTAGAGAACAACACACAGACAGGGAGGGTTATGTATATGATTGATGTTCAGGCTCAATGCTCTTTGCCTGCAATGCTCACCTGCGACACGTACCACCTGACCCGTACCCTGCTTCCCGATAACTACCCTGCCCGCAAATTTAACGTAAAGCACACAGCCAGTTGCTGTGGACTAATTTGCTTTAGCCCAACCAATATACCCAACCCTGACGTCAGGTGGCAGGGCCAGAGCACCACTACGCCTTATGAGCACCCGACACTGACATGCCCACTCAGGCCTGTTTCCCCTGACGGCTACACCTTGAGACCTGGCTATCAGCGGTAATACTACTAACGGAAAGTTCAGTCAATACAACGGGATATGTTCCTTGTTCCCCCTTTTGAATAATAGTACAGTATCATTTTAAGGGATGACCCCGCCTGTGTTACCTTAAGATTAGGCATGTTTATATAGCACTGTTGACCATTATTTTGCCCAACATGTACCTTGAGCGAGAACTTTAACTCACAATACTTACAACGTGTATATTATTCTGTGGTTTGACATTAATTAACACGTAAAATGCCTGATAATTATGCTTCTTTTCACTTTCCTTTAAAAATGTGCACAATTATATCCATGCCATATTGTATACTGTTATCAAACGGTTTCCTACAGCTATTGTGGCGTAGAAAGCCAAACTGTCATTGCATGCACTAACAAAAATAAAGAATAAAAAAAAAAAAAAGAGATACGGAAGCCAATGATGCAATGCAAACAAGTCATTAGATTGGCTAAACTAGAATATGGGAAATTGAACCTAAAGAGACTAAACCAACGGTGCATTTAGAACTATATGTGAGGAATACACAGAGCATTAGATGTGGGTTAGGAACTACTGAATTAAAACTTCCCACTCGTATTCTTCTCACTTTTTCCTGCAGGGGCCATTTGGATATTTATAACCTTATTCGCAGGACATACAAAATTATCAACTTAAAATTTAGCCTGTTATATTTGGTCAAACATTTAATTAATTCACCCTTAATTTGATGGATGGAAATGCGTATTGATGATGAAGCTACTTGCCACTGCTGCCCGGCCTCCACCCACGATCGCGTAAATTACATCCATTATTAAGCTGCCTGCAGTGCCTGCTGTGAGTGACTCTAAGTTGTGTTGGCCACCCGGTGCCCCTCTTGCATTGTCGCTCTATGCGGACGCACACACAAAAGGCCTGCATGGCTGTCTTAACATTATTATAGACTCCCGGGTAAAGCAGAGCACTGGTCACTTCCTACACAATCACTCACAGAAATAAAAATTGAATTATTGATAAACTTAAGTTTATATTTATTAGTACATCCAACAATTGCAATACATACACACAGACTGCTGAATACATTCACAAACTGCTGAATACCCACACAGAGACAGACTGCCGAATACATATACACATACACTCTGCGAATTACACACACAGACTGCTAAAAAAACACACACACACACACACACACACACACACAGACTGCTGTATATACACACACACACACACAGACTTCTGAATACACACAGATTGCTGAATACAAGCACACAGACTACAGTGAAGGGTACAGTGTATGTGCAAGGGGTGCTGTGTGTGTGTGAGGGGTGCAGTGTGTGTATGAGGGGGTGTAATGTGTGTGTGTAACAGGGTGCAGTGTTTGAGGGAGTGCAATGTGTGTGTAGGGTCTATATTGTAAGTGGGAGGGTGATCAGGGAGAAAATTTATATTTTTTTCTTAAAAAGGTAAAGTAAAGCTTTATGCCCCCTCCTTTTTCTTTCCTCTGGCCTGGATGGAGGGGACAAATCACTGCAAGTCCTGGTTGTCCAGTGGTGTCATGTGCACTTTAGCCTGCATCTCTGACTTCACTCTTTTCTTCCCGCGAGCACAGTGCTGTGTCAAAGCTTTGCCATGGTAATGTGAGGAAACACTCCAACCTTTCTGCTCGCGTGAGAAGCACAGTCTCCTGGGGCCTCCTCTTGGGTGCTACCTTCCTCCCTCTCCCCTAACAAACTACCAGAAGACCAGTCAGGGAGATCTTTAATCTCCCCACCAGCCCGAGAAAGGTAGACACAATGGCCAGCTCTCCATGGGCCAGACCAAATGACTTTATACGGATGTTCCCCACCTCTGCTCTAGAGATTCCCATAACCTATGTCTCAGTGGATATCAGACCAGTTAATCACTCATAATAGTTTCTGCAACACCCTATCCCTACGTAAAACTTTTCATTCCATATACCAGCCTTAGACCTATATTTCTTATTCTACCAGTCAACGCACTCACTGTGCCAGGATCTGTTATTTAAAACATGGATCTATACATGGATCTGTTGTGTGAAGCAGTTTGTACACTCAGTGTACACAGATCTTTTGTGTAAGCCATTTTGTATCCCCACTGGGCTATGTGTGACAACATGTGCTAGGGTTGTCCAGCTTCACTGGCTGTGTATCTGTGGAAACCTACAGAGCAAGTTACTCTTGTTTGGTGAGAACATTGCAAATTAATAACCTGCCTGACCAATGTCCAGTGTGTGAAAGTCACAAGTTAAGTGACAAAGAGTGAGGCAGTAAATTCTTGAGTTCAATCATTTACTTAATTTTTATTTTAGTGTTTTGTTTTTTTATTAATTTGCTTTTTTGTTTGGTTTTATAACAATTCGACATATACAGGATGCACGAGCATTAAGGTGACACGTGCAGTACAATAAAGCAGGATCACAGAACTGAGAGACCGCACATATCACAATACATGGGTTTCAGATGTCAAGAGCTCATTTTTCTGTATGCGAACTGTATAGGGTTGTGTTTCAATGTTCACTACCTCTCAGATACATATCAATAGGACAGCAATATATACAGACATGTGTACACATTGTATAGTCCATACACAACTAAAGAAATGTAAAAATAAATCAAAATGAAACATAATTTAAGAAAAGAAAAATGAAAATTAAACACAACGCATATTCTCATGGTTTGAGGGGATCATATTGGAATACATCAGGGATTCAGTGCAATACAATTAGTGTGTTTCCCAACATAGGTAAGTATTAAGTATAGGGAGTAGGATCCTCTATGGATCAATGAGTCTGGAGGTAATGTGGGGTATGGCCTTACTGTCGTCAGTAATTATGATGGCCGACTCTGAGATCTGGGGGTCCGTTCACCTGCCTGCTTACAAGGTACTGGTATGTTGCTAGTTCCCTGGATGAAAGGAACTACCGTCAGGGGAAGCGCCATTTGGGCCTTGGGCTGAGGACCAGTAATTCAGCCATGGGGACAAGACTTTTAGATACTTTAGTCTGCATTCATTGGCTGACCAATGTATGTCTTAAATGTGTCTAATGTCATCTACTCGATTAACCCAATGTTCCACAGTGGGCACTGGCACCTTTTTCCAATATGCTGGGATTAGGGCATTCGCTTCACCTAAAATGAGCAACAGTAGCTTCTGATTGTGTGGGTTAGGAAAGGAGTTTGCCCATCCTAATAAGATCTGAGATTCTGTGAGAGTTGGGATAGTTGGGTAAATCAAGCAGATGATTCCGATTATCCGTCGCCAGAATGGTTTTATATAGGCTGTAAGCTTGTGTGAGCAGGGCCCTCTTCAACCAATTGTTCCTGTACGTTTTTGTAATAGTCTCATTTATTGTTAAATCTCCCCCTAAAATGCTACAGAATATGCTGGCGCTATATAAATACCAGTAATATTAAAAATTAATCACAATGCCACCATAAATACTTTATAGTCCCCTCTGTTCCCTGACATATCCAGCACAAATTTCTGACTGTGGGTAGGAAAGAATGTAAAAGGGATGGGGTGGTCCTATGCCATCTCGTTATACACTTATAGAACGCTTCCCTTCTAGATAGGCTAACTGATGCCTGCATTACCTGAGTGAAAATATGGGACCAGTCCAGGGCCGGCGCGTCCTATAGGCGACTTAGGCGACATATTTTAGAGACCGGCAGGAGGGATGTGCACAACGCTCCCTCCTGCCAGTCACTCAATGTAGCGTGGCCGGGCAGCGCGGACGTGGTACAGGAGCTTATGTTTCCTGTACCATGGTCCGCGTCGCTCGGCCACTCTACATAGGTAGGAGGCACAACAGGGAGGAATGACCACTAAGGGGGGGAGGGAGGAAGGAGGACCGCTAAGGGGGGGAGTGAAGGACCACTAAGGGGGGAGAAGAGTGAGTGAGAGGACCACCAAAGGGGGACTGCAGAGGACCACTAAGGGGGTGGGGGGAGAGGGAGGACCACTAAGGGGATGTGGGAGGAGGATCACTAAGAGAAGGGGAGAGGGAGGACCACTAAGGGGGGGGGGGAGAGAACTATGAAGGGGGAGTGAGAGACCACCAAGGGGGGACTGGAGAGGACCACTGAGAGGGGGAAGACCACTAAGGGATGGGAGGGGAGGGGAGAGACCACTAAGGGGCAGAGGATTGCTCTAAGGATGGAGGGGTAGGGTATATCACTAAGGAACAGGGGAGATCACTAAGGGACAGGACAGGTGGGGAGAGCACTAATGGACTGGAGGGAAGGGAATATCACAAAGGGACAGGGGGCCAAGGTAGAGCACTAAGGATCAGGAGGGGAGAACACTGAGGGACAGGAGGGGAGATCACTAATTTATAGGAGGGGAGAGCACTATAAAAAATAAATAAAAGAGCTGCTCCCCTCTCAGCCCTTATTCTACCCCACAAACCCTCTCTTTTACACTACATACATACACTATGCATCCTTACACATCCACAGAAACACACAATGCATCCCTACACACACACACAGAAACATACAATGCATCCCTACTCACACACAGACACACCGAAACACATAATGCATCCCTTACGCACAAACACACACACACACACACACTGCTTCTCTTACACACACAGAAACAAAATGCATCTCTTACACTCACTCAATGCACCCCTTACAGACACACACACTGCATTAAATTTCATACACAGAAACACACCTTGCATTCCTTACAAACAAACACACACGGCATCCCCTGTACACACACTACATTCCTTACACAAATTGGTATCCCTATACACTACATTCCATAACAACACACACACATTACATCCTCTACAATAATACATAACACATCCCCTACACACATACACTCCACTCCCTGTGAGCGGAATCAAGGGTAGGCCATGTAGGTGGATTTATGGGCGGGTATTGTAGGCATACTCACGGTCAAGCCCTGCAGGCCCAGACCTTAAGCTGTGTAAGGGGCCCCAAAAATGGAGCTGCTTCCTGTTCGTTAATTGTTTTGAGCACTGTTACAAACAGTCTCCAGAGAGCCTCTTCTACACCAGACCTGTGGACCCAGACTACAGCCTGGGCCTATCATCATCCTCTTGTCCTCATCTGGTGGTAAGTAGGCAATCCAGCTTATTATTAGTGGCACTAATCTCTAATTTACCTCATTATAGTCACTATAGTAACCAAAACCACTGCAGCTTAATGTAGTGGTTATGGTGTCTATAGCCTGTGCTGCAGGGTTTTTAATGTAAACACACTGCCTATTCAGATAAAAGACACTTTGTGCTGAACTGGGAATTTGTTGGCGCTATATAAATAATAATAAAAACCAAACAATAGGTATCTGAATCTCACGGAGTAGTAAAACACAAACAAATACAATGGGCTGCTTCACAACAAACAATGAGCGACTAATATATATATATATAACATATAGATAAAAAATGTGTGAGCGCTCCAAATTCGCCCTAAGCATGTCCAACTTACAGTAGAGTGATAATACTCGTTAATACAATTAGAGTATATAATTAAACTGTCCAGACGCTTAAACACGCCAGCAAATGAGTAAAATTAATTAATTGCTAAAACACAAGCAATACCATGTGAACCAATTAATAAAAAATCATTCAAAACAAATAATTCATACAGCAGACCGGGCTAATATGCGCTATGCACATCCCTCCTGCCGGTCTCTAAAATATGTCGCCTAAGTCGCCTATAGGACGCGCCGGCCCTGGACTGGTCCCATATTTTCACTCAGGTAATGCAGGCATCAGTTAGCCTATCTAGAAGGGAAGCTTTCTATAAGTGTATAACCAGATAGCATAGGACCAGACCACCCCATCCCTATTACATTCTTTCCTACCCACAGTCAGAAATTTGTGCTGGATATGTCAGGGAACAGAGGGGACTATAAAGTATTCATGGTGGCATTGTGATTAATTTTTAATATTACTGGTATTTATATAGCGCCAGCATATTCTGTAGCATTTTACAATATTATCAAAGGGGAAGATTTAACAATAAATGAGACTATTACAAAAACTTACAGGAACAATTGGTTGAAGAGGGCCCTGCTCACACAAGCTTACAGCCTATATAAAACCATTCTGGCGTCGGATAATCGGAATCATCTGCTTGATTTACCCAACTATCCCAACTCTCACAGCATCTCAGATCTTATTAGGATGGACAAACTCCTTTCCTAACCCACACAATATAATCTAAATATGTGCAAAAGTATATTTATTCAATGATAAAACCTGTATACTAGGTATCAAATAAGTACTAAAAAATATATATAAACATCAAGTCAGAGATACACAAACCATCAAATAAAAAACACAGCCGGTTAAGCAGATACTATGTTCTTAAATGTATCTTAAGGTCTCGATAGAACTCAGTGGGAGGCCCCCTTCCCACCAGAGCGATCTCCAAAAGAAAAGTAAGAAACACTGATTCATTGATGAAAAAAAAGGCTGGCGTAAAAGCTCGTGAATAATATGAGATAAGGGACTTGCCGTCCTGGGGGAGTTATTGGAGCTCTGAAACTTGCCCGGCTAGATGGTAAAGCTAAGGGTGTAGAGGCGGAACTCCTAGGTCAATAATGAACATAAGGAGAACACCCAGCAAATTACCGGACAAAAATGTGTCATGGTTTCATGCCTAGGGTTATCCGAGAGTGCGTTCCTGATCTTGATTTTCTGGTATTTGACTTTGGCTTTGTTTTGACTTCCCTGAATTCTGGTATCCTTGACTTTTGGCTTTCGCTCATCTTTGTGTCTGATTCTATGTTCCTGACCTTAGCAAGTATTTTGACTATTCTTGGAGACGTTAAGTCCGGCCATTCTAAGGTCCGTTTATTTTTTATCCTTAGTCCTAGGTGTGACACAGTACTGCGTGCTGGATCAACCTGTAATCCTGACACTCCCCTAATGGACTGCAAGGTGGCCAGTGAGGGAGATCTTTAATTTGACAAACAGAATTGGTGGCTCTCCATAGGCCGGAATAAATGATTTTGCCGACCACTCTTCCTCTAGAGGTTCCCATAACCTCTGTCTTAGTGGATATCAGACCATTCGGTCACTCATAATAGTTTCTCCAGCACCCTATCCATATGTAAAACTTTCCATTCCATATACCAGCCCTAGACCTATAATTCCTATCCTACCAGTCAACGCACTCACTGTGCCAGGATCTGTTATTTAAAACACGGATCTATACATGGATCTGTTGTGTGAAGCAGTTTGAACACTCTGTGTACACAGATCTTTTGTGTAAGCCATTTTGTATCCCCACTGGGCTATGTGTGACAACATGTGCCAGGGCTGTCCAGCTTCACTGGCTGTGTATCTGTGGAAATCTATAGAGCACAGTTTGGTGAGAACATTGCAAATTAATAACCTGCCTGATCAATGTCCAGTGTGTGAAAGTCACAAGTTAAGTGACAAAAAGTGAGGCAATAAATTCTTGAGTTCAATTATTTACTCGGGTCTTATATTTGTTACACCAGGGACCTTCCTCTAATTTGTGCATGCATTCTTTAGTAGAGGAACACCATGGAGAAGATGTCTCCCAATAGGATACGTGTAGCTGTGATCGGAGCCGGGGGAGCTGGTCTCTGTGCGGCCAGACATCTCCTTTCACGTCCTCACACCTTCCAACCTCCAGTGGTGTTTGAGATCTCTAGTCAGGTAGGTGGAACCTGGTTATACACAGAGGTTTCAGAGAACGAATCCCACCAACACTCCAGCACGTACAGAAACTTAAGGTAAGGAAATAGGGCACCAGCTTGCATGCCATGTATGACCGAGTGACAACGACATGCTTAATGTGTTAATGGGTCAGTCCTGTGTAAAGGAACAAAATGACAGTGACATGCTTAATGGGCTAAGTGTCACCCTGTATAAAGTGACAGCTTGCTTAATAGGTTTAATTTTCAGGTGACCCAATGACAGTGACATGTTTAACGCGTAAACATTAAAGACCCAAGTAAGATTACTTAATAGCAATGGCATGTTTAGAGCAGATCCTTAACATATTAATGACAGTGACATCTTTAATGAGTTAATAAGTCAATTGTCCACACATGTTTCCCATTGTTGATTAGATTACTTGTCTTGCTTTGTATGAGATAACAACATGCATTGGCTGCCTATCATTCATAAGTAACTTGAAGCTTTCACGTCATGCTGAGAATCTTATGAAAAATTATCACAGGTAGTAGCAAGGTGACCTGCTATGTAACAAATGTCATGTACATCATACATCAGGACCAACCTTCCCAAAGAGATCATGGAGTTCCCCGATTTCAGCTTTGACCCATCGCTTCCTTCTTTCATCCATCACAGTGAAGTTTTACGGTACTTGGAAGAATACACAGACAACTTCAACATACGGCCACACATCAGGGTAAGACATTTATTGTGTAACCAATCTACTGAGTGACAGGGTGACACAATCAAAACAGCAGTATGTAAGTGGAGTGCTAGACAGTAGGTGAACACATTATGCTCAGGATATATGTGGAAAATAAATATATAGTGCAACACTGTGTTTTCAATTTCTTGATTGTAGTGGTTTATAGAAGATATCAGAGGGTGAGTACTTTGCAAGTAACCCTTCAACTCCAGCATCCAAAGCCTGAACCTCAAAATAAACTCTTTACCATTATCCTATGTCTAACTCGTCTTAAAACTAAACATCTCATGTACTTCAATTCAAAATGTAACCCAACTAAAGCTCTATACTCAATAATCCTAAACATCTTATATACTAAAAATCTTCTAAACACCCTATGTAATCTAACTCTGACATTAACACCTCTCTAACCTTAAAGCTCTCTGTCATCGTCGTGGGGTCCAGTGGCTGAGCGCTCTTTGGAGGGGATCTACAATACCTTGGGAGGAACAATCACTACCTATGAGCTTCAACAACCATCCAGAGACCACAATAAAGTACCGGCAAATATCTATAATTGCCTGGAACTATTTTCGGCATTAGACCACGCTAGCAGTCAGTCTAAAATTCTCAGGAAATATTGGGATCCTATACACAGAGTGGCAGAGTGTAAAAAGAATAGTAATGTGTACCGGACCTTAGAATGCCCGTGCTGAGGTCACAAGGACGGAGAGTAAACAGGGACAAGCCGAGGTCAGTGGAGCCAGAAATCAAGAACAGCGAGGGTACAAAAGCCGAGTCAAAGGGTAACAGAAGGTAAAGTAGTCAAACAAGCCAAAGTCAAAACCTAGAGTACAATACAAGTATATAAAGTGCTATTGGGACTGTAAGAACCCCAACAGGGCAGAGTGCCATAAGTGAACCAACCTTTTATATTCTCTTTCTTTAATTTTGAAGTCACGCCCCCAAAAATTTGATGTTTTATAGGGCCTTTATGTTATTGGCGTCATGACATTGGCACGTACGCACCGCGGTAACATCATTTGCGTTATGACGTCGGCACTCGTGGGCTGCGCCATGTAAGCGGTCGGCTTTGGAACCGCTGGACGGAAACCTGGGACTGAGGAGAGGTTCCCTCTTTTGCAAAAAGTCCCCAACCCAGGTAAGCATGGCAGTTACCCTGACAAAAATTTAACGGGGTGGCGTTTCTCCAAACCTCAACGTATCAGTGCGCTGTTTGGACAGATTGGGCGCTCTAGCAAAAGCTATCTGGGGATATAAGGCTTGTGACCATTTTCAATATGTTTTTGGGGGATTTTATGTATTTGGCTCTCTGTATCCGGGAGATAATAAACTTACCAAGTTTTGACTCCATTATCTCCCAGACACAGAGACGCCTAGGTGGGATCTGTGTGTAAAAGAATAGAGACTGCCTGCATTCTGAGCAATAAAGACAGATTATTCTGTTACTGGGGGAACAGAGCTATATTATAGCAGAGGTAACAATTCGGGTTAGTAGTGGTCTGCTACAAATATAATTTTATTTTCTTTTTAGACCTGCAATGTCCTATTAGTAAAATCATTATACTTACTTTATCTGCCATATTTTGGGATTGGTGATCTGAGGACGCCTTATAATGCTGTGCCCTACACAATATATATCCCTGGGAAGTCACCAAGTGCCCTAACTGTCCAAATGATTGGAGAGAGCTCACACGCCCAGAGTACCCTCTGATGCCACCTTGCCTCCCCGACCTTTCCTCCAAACAGTGCTCTATTTTGAGGTTAGGATATCAAGCGATACCCATTTAAAGATTGATCTGACCTCGGCACAGTCCTGATCAGAGGAACAGTTTCAGAGAATTTTAAGTTATCACCCAGTCAGACGTTCTAGGTGTAGCATGAGTCCAGGCGATCCCCAGATTTCCTCAATTCCAGCTGGAAAGCATAATAAGCGTTTGGGCCACCACAGTGACAATAGCGCCTTTGAGGGGATATTGGATAGGTCCATAGTCTGTGGGCAGGAGACTGGCCTTCACACCTCTCCAGGAGGCTGTGGCATGGGAGCCTCCATCAAACAGTACTCCTGGCATAGTAATAAAAAAAATATAGCACACCCAGGACTTATGCATACAGAGCCTGCCACATATAGAACCTGGAATAATTTGCCAAATGGCAATATGGATTTAGAAAGCCCAGCCTGTTGGTTCCAAACACAACGTACGCCAGCAGTATATCTTATGAAAATTTACTGGAAAATGAGATTGCAAACATTTGAAAAATTAACCCCTTAAGGACACAGTTTCAGAAATAAAAGGGAATTATGATGGAATATTACCGTCATGTGTCCTTAAGGGGTTAAACTCCCAGACTCCGTGGCTTTGTTTTGCCTGGGTTTAGATCTTCCGAAGGTTATTCAGTTCACAGAAAGAATACGTTAGCTGGTTCTGAGGGCAAATGAGAGAAAAGTAGAGAACATCAGTAACACACTGTCCAATTAATATTATAGAAAAATCTGTAAATAAATGTAAAAAAAAGGGGGGGGTCCTGAAGGACAGAATTTATTTTTTTTCAGTTCTAAATTTACATCAGTCAACTTCCTATTATAAATAGAAAGATCAGTAGTATAGTGCTCCATAAGGCTATTTAGATGGAGGGAGTGGTGCACTCCCTTTGAATGTTGTGAGGAGGTTCTGGGGAACATTGCTGCACACCCCTCTGAGTTACGTAGCATGGCAGGATTGAATCTATACCTGACTGTGCAGCATGTGCTTATTTACAGCTATGCTTTTCTTGAGATCCTGGAGAGAATCAGCAGCACAATGTCCATGGCTAGAGAAGACAAGCAAAACATAGAAATGTCATGACATATTCCCACCTCTTTTAGTGTGTAAGGGCATCAAGGTTTCCTTTGGACTCATGCTCCAGGTGTTTTTGGAACTTGGCAACACTCCTGGTATCAGGGCGGGTCTGGGAAGAAAATTCGGCCAGGGCATTTTTTAATTACAGCGGACCACTGGAAGAGCCAGATAGGGTGTGTTTTGTCATCACCAATGACAAGAATGCCCCATCCCAAAGTGAGCATGTTGGTTCCATGCTCTTCCAGGCCAGACCATGCGCAGAGCTCTGCACAATGCAAGCAAATGTAATAACATGCTTGCACTGTGTTTACATGAAATTTGTCTCTGGTGTCTCCATAGATGGGATACCAGGAGACAAAAATGCCAGGAAAGAGTATTGTGCAGTGTGTGTGAGGATGCAGTGTGTGTGAGGGTGGTGTGTGTGTGTGTGTGTGTGTGTGTGTGTAAGGGGTGTAGTGTGTATGAAAGAGGGGTGCTGTGTGGGTAAGGGTGCTGTGTGTGTGCTGTGTGTGCAGTGTGTGTGATAGGTGCAGTGTGTGTGTGAAGCTGCTGTGTTTGAGTGAGGGGGCTATGTGCATGTGAGGAAGCTGTGTGTGAGGGTGCAGTGTGTGTGTGTGAAAGCGAGGGTGCTGTGAGTGTCAGGGGTGCAGTGTGTGTGTGTGTGAGAGAGGGTGCTGTGAGTGCCAGGGGTGCAGTGTGTTTGTGAGTGAGGGTGCTGTGAGTGTCAGGGGTGCAGTGTGTGTGTGAGTGAGGGTGCTGGTGTGTGAATATGTCTGGAGGGCTTTTGTGTTGGGGTAGGCAGATTATTATCTATATATTAATTTAAAAAATAAAGATGTATTGATTATATCCCCCTTCCCTTCTTACCTTTAGCCTGGGAGGGGGGGACTGTGCTGCCATCCCTGGTGGTGCTAGTGGTGAGTGAACTCTAGCCTGCGAAACCCAGAGTGTTGCCAAGGCAGCGCTCAATATCTCGCAAGAGGAACCTGACGGGCTGCAAGATAGGGTTCATCTTTTGTCTCTCTTCCTCTCTCCCCCGCCGGCAGCCGCAATTCACTACATGTGGGCTGGTGAGGGAGATCTACGATCTCCACACTGGGCCGTCATGATACACAGTGGGGGCGCAGCTCGGATAGTGCCGTTCCTGCATAGACCGGCAGGGGAAATCCTGTGATCTCCCCTGCCAGTCTCGGCCCATGGCCACTGCGGCCCACCGGGCATTTGCCCAGTGTGCCCGATGGCCAATCCGGGCCTGCCTGGTATATCCTTACTATTATATTTATATCGGCCTCTGTTCCCTAGACCAGGAATTGTGTTGAAATGACAAGGGAATTGCAAATTTTATTTGAATAACTTTTTTCAGTTCAACTGACTTTACCTACAATTAGCAAATCCCACGTCAAAGCTCTACAATTGACAATGTAATAAGTAAACCCCCTGTTTGTTTTCCAATGATAAATAGGTTTCTATAGAACCCACACTATGCCAGTCCTCCACAATGTAATGGTATGGTCCTCCACAATGTAGTCCCTGCAGCAACACAAACTGCGATTAGATAATCACAATAACTTTCTATGATATGAGTTACCATATCCTGAACCAAACAGAATTGTTCCTGAGGAAGGAAGAATCAAGGAATTAGGAAAGGTCACCAAAGTCTGGCGTTTTTAATAATACCTATATTGTTTTTCTAAATAGGAAGGATTATGATTGGGTGCGAAATGTCCAGAGCTTTCCAGTGTCTAAAATGTGACTGCCCTCTTTTTTTGTTATAGTTTAATAGCAGAGTGACCGGTGTCTCTCCTGTATTGAGGGATGGGGAGTGTGGCCAGGTGCCATGGGACGTGACATCTCACACGCAGGGAAACTCTCACCCTGTGACAGAGAGGTTTGATGCAGTTACGGTGTGTGTGGGGTAAGAAGTATGAATATCTCTAATCTGTGACTGTCTGTGTGAGCCAATGCTCTCCTTTGTTCTCACTGTGTGATCTGTTCATAATACAGAATAATAGACAGCAGGGGCATACCTAGAGCATTTGGCTGTATTTGTAATTTTTTTTAATGTTTTCAAGAATATTTATTGCACAAATTTGTAAACTTATGTTAGAAAGAGTCCCCTCAAGGCCCCATTAGAGACTACAATGAAGTCTAATGGACCCTGGAGAGGGGTCTCTCTAACACTCTGGCCCCCATTCACAATATAGTAATATAACATAGCTCACTAATACCCAAGTTTTGCTCCTCGCTCTAATTGCTGTTGTAGGCTGGCTGCTGTGGCTGGCTGCCACCCCCCCCAGCCCCTTTGTGCATCTGTTTCTCCCCACCCCCTTTGTGTGTCTTTTTTCCCCTTCCCCAGCCCCTCTGTGGGTCTCTTTGTCCCCACAGCCAAATACATACATATATATACAAAATATATCAAAATCTCAAAATAACTTTTAAAAGTTTATCCAAAAAATATTAAATCATTCTAAAAGCATATAAAAAAAATATTCAATTGAGGTCTTTATTGCTATTATCCCTTCTAATTGTGTGACCATTACAGCTTAACTTATAGTATATATATATATATATATATAAATATTTTTTTTTTTATTTCTTCAAAAGGTTCAAAAAGAACTTTGGATTCAAATGAAAATATTTGACAAGCTCTATTTGATATCTACAGATCTTAATTTCTTTGTGTTTTTCCTTTTTTTTTTTTTTTTTTTTAGGCATTACTCTCATCCTTATATTCCAGACATCCCAGGGATTGATACCTTCCAAGGTGAGATATTAACAACCTTATGGGGTTACACTAGGAGCATAGTTGCATTTGGAGCCCATCACTTTGGTTGTTGGTGGAAGGTGAATGCAAAGCTATTCTAGAGGACTGGAGATCATTTTTGTCCTTTGCGTCTTCAGGTAAACTGCTGCACAGTCATTCTTACCGCTATCCAGAAATGTTCACCTCTCGTTCGGTGGCCCTTTTAGGTTGTGGACCTTCTGGAGTGGATATTGCCCATGAGCTGGCTCCTTATGCACAACAAGTCACCCTATGCCATCGTGGCCCACCCCCAAAGTGGACTCCTCCTACAGGTGTAACTCTGGCACCAACGGTGGTCGGTGCCACTCCACATCATCTAATCTGTGAGGATGGATCTCAACTGGAAGCTGATACTCTAATTTTCTGTACTGGATATAAATATTATTATCCATTTCTGATGAAAAAGAAAGAGCCAAGAATGCTGAAGAACACAGAAGAAAATGGAGAGACTATAGTTAAAGAGTGTTTTGAGTCTGATTCCATAATGAACAGAACCGGATTGCTTTTGGCAACTCAAGAAGAGCTGGAAAGTATTGAACTGATGAAATGTAAAGATAGGTTGGAGTTAAGTAAGAAAAATACCAATTGGTTCATGATGAACGATGAACTAGTGGTTCCAAATGAAGGTCAAGGCCACCTTCCTCCACTCTACAAACATCTAATCCATGCCCTCTACCCCACCATGTGCTTCATAGGCGCATGCAAGATAGTGTTACCATTTCCTCTGTGTCATTACCAGGTTCTCCTATTCTTGGCAGTGCTGGAAGGAAAATGCCTACTACCTTCTCCAGAGCAAATGCTTTCTGAATCCCTTGATGAATTAAAGAACCACCTGAGTTTGCAATTGCCCCTCAAATTTCTCCATCGTCCAGACCTGTGGGAGTATAAACACTGGCTTGCAGAGACAGCAGGTTTTGAGCCATTGCCTCCTGTAATGAAGAAGATATTAGAGACTTGCAAGCAATGGATGGAAATAAACCCTGTGTCATATCGAGATTTCAACTTTGAAGTCTTGAGCAAAGATGAATTTAGAGTAATGCAAGGAGATGCAACTATCCTAGTGGAGCCCGTTTCATCTATTGGTTCATTTGAGAGCTAAATTGTTTGCTCAATTTTTTTTACTATAAATCTACGGGAGATGCATCATTTAACAGGTTGTGTTTTAATACAGATTGTGCTGATTAGAGTAAAATACAGTCGTAATTTTAAGATATATTGTACAAACTTACCCTCAAGATCCGCATGCAGGACAGAATGTGAGGTATCCAACCATCGACAGGTGTCTCAATGATAGTAACCGTACCACTGATAAAAATAGACTCCTCAGCAGTTGCATTTTCCAAACAAGGGACTCTTTTAAATTTAATTCAGTATTCCTTCTATTATTGGACACACACATCATTAAATTTTACTGCATATACATTTTTGGGCGTATGGTAATTATTACCTGTCTTTTTATGTTCTTTGTTTGCAAGTCACGTTTATTTAACAAACTGAATCGTTTAATCCATTGGTATTTCAGTTATGAATAGAGGATGCCTTTTTAACAGAAAATAAACGTTTTTAACCTAGAATCCCTAAATAATTTTGTCAATTCTGTATCAACATTTAATGATATCAGTAGGTCCAAACAGCTGACAAAACATTAATATCAGCAGGTAACCTGGTAAGAAAGAAGGGCGGAATTTCCCATTATGCAGAGTAAGCACTTGTGTACAGATACCTTGTGAGTAGGGGCCTATTCACAGCACTTACAATGTGCCTCGTGGAGCTTAGGTGGGCTAGTAAAGCACTAAGAGCCTTGGTCAGTGTCTCCTGTAGTCCACTCAAACTCCTATGTTTGATAGCAGAGTTAGAGAAACAGTTTTAGAAGGTGTAAAACTCAGTGCTATCCCAGCTCCTCCAGTGTCTGTGTGTGAGGCTGTACAGGAAGTGGAAGGGATCACTTCCTATCTGCCCACTAACAGCCTCTCACACAGGAAATGCCTTACAGGAGGAGCAAGGATAGCACTGAGTGATGCACACTGCATCACAGCTCCTGCAGCTCCAATATCAATCAAAGGAGGCTAAGAAGTCATAGGATGGTGAATACTCTGCAAATAATCCTTCAAACTCCACATGTAACCCTAAACACAAACTCTCCCAAAACCTAAACAAACTCTTTCCTTAGTCCAATAATTAAGCAATCAAAGCCTAAATGTGAAACAAAATCCTTCACCTTTATCCTAGCTTTAACTCCTATAAAAAATTTTTACAAAATTAAACACACCACGTAGTCCAATACTAACTTTAAAGAGACGCTATAGTCACCAGAACCACTACTGCTTAATGTAGTGGTTCTGGTATCTATCACCTGTTCCTGCAGGCTTTTCAGAGAAAAGGCAGCATTTATATTGCTGGCTAGTAATACCTCTATGTTCAGCGTCTCTACTCTCTGCATGAAGAACAGACACTTCCGAAATTCAGGACTTCGGCAATTCGGCACTTTGGCACCTCGGTTCGGCACTTCCGAAATTCGGGAATTCGGCACTTCGGCAATTCTCTAACCTTAACCCTACCCCTAACCACCACAACCACTTACACATCTAGGGATTAGGGGTAGGGGAGATGTAGGGTTAGATTTCAGTCATTATTCCTGTAATTTTCCCTCCCTCTCTTGTTTTGCCACTTTTCTGAAATCTGGATCACTTCTGCACTTCGGAAATTCGGCTCTTCAGTTCGGCACTTCCGAAATTCGGCAATTCGGGACGTCGGCAGTTCGGCACTTCGGTTTGGTTCGGCACTTCAAAAATTCACCAATTCGGACATTCGGAAGCATCCGAATGTCCGAATTGACGAAATTCATCAGAATTTACATTCCGAACGAAACGAATTGCACATGTCTAACAAAAACTTACAGGAACAATAGGTTGAAGAGGGCCCTGCTCAAACAAATATACAGTCTATAGGAGGTGGGGTGTAAAACCCAACAGGATAGGAAATAGCAATCAAACAAGGTGGAGTGAAGCAGAGCTGGAGGAGAGAATAGAGTGCTGCCCTTTAGTAGAGAGCAAGGGACAGGTATGTGAGGCATGTTTGCATTCATGACACTATGGTAACCCTTCGCTAATCCTAAACCCAATAATTCTAAACATCCCTTATACCACAACTATACGCCCTCTCAATCAAATGTAATCCTCCTATTCCTAACTCACTAACTCTGGCTTTAATCTCTCTAAAACCTTAACCCCCAATTTATCCTAACAACCTCTAACATTTTTTTTTAATTCTTTATTTTTTCGTGCAAGAAAAATACAAAGAGGCAAGCAATGCCACAACTGCTATTACCAGCTTTTAGATCAGTGTTAGGGTCTCAGGCCTGGAGCTCGGACAGCATGCGACCAGTCGGTTCAGCAGTCAGGCTCCACCCCCCCAACATTATTTTTAACCCTGTATGAACCTGTGAGTATAATGCTTGTAGGCAGCTGTCTAAATACAAACACAATACATTACAAGTAGAAATATGAGCATATATACTTATGCAGTTGTCAAAATTAAATATATGCTTTTAGATGTCTTTTATGCCTGCAGTGTACAGTTAATAAATTAATTAAGGTCACTTTATCTGCCCCTTTTTGGGGGTGGAGGATTATGACATATAGACCTGGCCTGTTGGTAAGTTGAATGCCAGAGTCCCTCTTGGTCTGTTATTTGGAATGGGCCCTGTTTGGACTAATCTGACATTGTTTAATCATGCGCCCCAAATATACCACAAGTTCCTCTAATCATGTGCTCATACTATGATTGTTGGGGATGGTTTCCTGGTGTCCTTTAAAAACGAGACACCAGGAAACTAAGGCAGAACAGGATGTGAAATCAGGACTGTCCCGCCAAATTCAGGACTGTTATAATATGTTTTTGAATCCCTCAGAGATGGTGCTGATCCATGCCAATGCCTTCTCTCACCTTGACTACTGCAATCCACTTCTCAGTGGTCTTACATGCAGGGCCGGCACCACTGTTAGGCGAACTAGGCATTCGCCTAGGGCACCAGCCTGCTGGGGGCGCCCACCAGTATGTTTCCTGGTGGGATGCCTCCCTCTGTCTGGGGCCGCAACACCAGGGATTCAGGGATGTAATTCCGGCCCCGGCATTCTAAACAGCGGGTGGGAGGAGTGAGAAGCTGCCCCACACAGGACCCCAGGGAGGTGAATGTTTGACTGTCAGTGAGTGTGTGTGTGTGTGTCTGTCAGTGAATGTCTGTCAGTGATTGAGTCTATATATGTCACTTAGTGTCTGCCTTTGTGTAAGTATTTGACTGTCAGTGTGTGTGTGTCTGCCTGTGTGTGTGTTTGTCAGTAATTGAGTTTATGTATGTCAGTGAGTGTCTGTGTGTGTGTGTCTATCTGTCAGTGAGTGAGTGTATGTACCTATGTCAGTAAGTTTCTGTTTATGTGTGTGTGTGTCAGTGAGTGAGTGTATGTCTGTCAGTAAGTGTCTGTGTGTGTGTGTGTGTGTGTGTGTCTGTCAGTAAGTGAGTGTATGTCTGTCAGTGAGTGTATGTGTGTGTGTCTATCAGTGAGCGAGTGTATGTATGTCAGTGAGTGTCTGTGTGTCTGTCTGTCTGTCTGTCAATGAGTGAGCGTATGTATGTCAGTTAGTGTGTGTGTTTGTGTGTGCCTGTCAGTGAGTGAATGTTTGTCTGTCTGTCAGTGAGTGTCCGTGTGTGTGTGTCTGTCAGTGAGTAAGTATAGTATGTCAGTGAGTGTCTGTGTGTGTGTGTGTGTGTTTGTCAGTAAGTGTGTGTGTCTGTCAGTGAGTGTATGTCTGTCAGTAAGCATGTGTGTCTGTCAGTGAGTGAGTGTATGTCTGTCACTGAGTTTGTGTGTGTCAGTGAGTGAGTGTATGTCTGTCAGTGTGTGTGTCTACCAGTGTGTGTCTGTCAGTGAGTGAGTAACATGAGGGGGCGGCAAAATGGATCTTTGCTTAGGGTGGCAGAAATCCTTGCACCAGCCCTGCTTACATGTTCCCAACTTGCCCTATTACAGTCTAAAATAAATTTGGTGGCGAGGCTCATCTTCCTGTCTGCCCACATTTCCCATGCCTCCACCCTCTGTCAGTCCCTACATTGACTTCCTGTAAGATACAGGGCTCAATTTAAAATTCTGGTTCTTGCTTATAAATCTTACATAATGCTGCTCCAACCTACCTATCCTCACTAATACACAAGTATGTTCTGTCTAGGCCCCTATGCTCAGCCAAAGACCCACGTCTATCCTCAGTTTGTACTACCAACTTTAATGCTCACCTTCTCTAGGGCTTCAACATTCCCTTACCTTCTCCATTAGACTTTCACCCAGTCTCCACTCCTTCAAAAAATCATTGAAAATTTACTTCTTCATGAAAACATATCAATTAAACTTGTCAACAGTTTTCCTTCGCTGCACCCTGATTCCTCTCCTACAACTGTCATTAAAAATAAAATCAAAAACACCCACTAAGTGAATATTTTTCTAGCAACCTAGTTTTCTACTCTACCCTTACCTTTTGTATCACTATACCCCACTCCCTCGCATGTAAGCTCATTGAGCAGAGACCTCAACCACTCTGTTCCTGTGTGTCCAACTTGTCTGTTTTTCTGTTAGTCCTCCTATTGTACGTTGCTGCAGAATTTGTTGGCGCTTTATAATTATGAAGATCCCAGAACTGTAGAAGTCTCTGATGTCTTGAACGTAGAACTTCCATGAACCATGTGGTGCTGTGGCTTAGTTGGTTAAAGCGCCTGTCTAGTAAACAGGAGATCCTGAGTTCGAATCTCAGCAGCGCCTGTCTATATTTTCGTCTTACCTGCAAAAATGATTTATAGTGTTTATGAAATAACAAAATTCAATTCTGCTCTAAACTGTCTTGATTAGAAATTGTAATTATCTTTATCCTATTTATTTAATTTTAACAGATGAAAACATTAAGGTTGGTTTGCTAAGCACTGAAATGTACTCAATAAAAGCTAAATTGCTAAATTTGGGACAAAAATAGCTGATTTGGGAAATTCTCCAACTGTGTATAGTCACAGGTCAAATCTTGGAATTTAATTCTCTATTGATTTGGATTTGGTATCTAATGAATGAACCCCCACACAGTTTATAAAACTTTTGTTTTTACAGAGACTTTGTAGAAACAAATTATGTTCATCAGGGGTCAATTTGTTAAACTTAGGATCATAGAAAATGGAATTGAAAACGTTTCATTAAACAATTTTTTCTTTGCACAAAAAGCGTGAATGTCTAGCACAAAACTCAGAAAAACAATCATTTAATAGTACAATCTAATTCTATTCTAAGGTATAAAATTAGCACACATTTTACTTAAATGTATTAAGTATATTTAATAGGTGCAATCTTGTACAACTTTATAAAAGACATTAATTGAAAATCACCATATATGGTATTTATAAGAAGAAAAAAAAACAAAACTCTAAACTGGCATATGAATAGGCTAAAGAGTAAGGCAACTATGCCAAAAAAAAACCTGAAATATATATTTTTAATTGTGCCGTTTTTATTAATCACGTTGGGTCCCACACTTTTTTTTTTAATTATAAAGAGGTTTATTCCGCAAACCGCATTGGAGAATTGATAAATGAATTACTAACTTCAGATGCACTCACCGAAGAACGAATAGACAAACAAAAAAATAAACTAAATTATTTCAAATCCCACAGTCTCCATTCTTAAACATATACATACTAAATATACCATATTATGTTATTGTGGCTGGTTGTACCTGCTATATTATGCTCAAAGTATTGTATATTTTTTCTGCTGACTATGTATAAAGAAAGATTGACAAAAATGTTTTAAAAAATAAACAAATGGACAGGTAGCTAGACAGATATACGTGTAGATTTTATTAGATATGTATTACCCCATACGTTTTGTGTTATAGATTATTCTATTTTTATTTACAGGATATCGCATATATGCATTTGTTTATTTATTTGGGGATGGGATCCCCCAGGCAACATTTTTACATTTCAAAGGTAAAGAAATGGATTAAAAGAGTTTTAAGACCACTTTAAAATCTATTGTTCTTTTCTCTGGGCCATCTTTAAAGGGATTTAGACAGGCTTCATTCCCTTAATCCAGTTTATTTATACTGCCTTTTCTTCTCATTGCTTTGTCCTTTAAATATATTAAATCTTGTCTCTTCTTGGTCCACTAACTGCTTAAATATTCAAAGTACCCTAATTCCCAATAAACCTTCTTCAAACTCATTTTACTTCTTTAAAGTGGGTTGAAAGTTCCATAGAAACTGCAGATTACATTTAAAAATCCAGGGTGAGGAAATACTCCGGTCTAATTCCGTTTGAATGCATCCGGTTTTGTGTTAGCAATGCTAATGAGCAAATAAGTATAATTAAATCTATTAATAAGGTAGAAGTGGGCCTGTCAGGTGTTCGGTGCTGTGTATTACCCAAGACGTGATCAAAGTCGATATAAAGAATGTGATACAAGCTCAGATCTTAAAGTTAATTTGTAGCTTTGCAAAACTGTGATAAGTGATCTAAGTTTTACTGTGATGAGCCAAATAATCAACTAAACAAGTGTCTGCGGTTTCAAACTAACTTTCATTTTAAGAAAAAAATAGTTCGGTTTAATCAAATTTTTTCAACATACAAAAGTGTACTATCCGTCCATCTATCTAATATCACTGATAATATAACACACAAGGGCATATATGATAAGCAAACATTTTATTTAACATGTTGAGCACACTTTTAAGTTCGTCCCATGAATTATATACAAAGAATGGAACTACCTAAAAAAAGAAAAATATAATAAACTTTCATTAGCGTATAAGTAAAACTCTACAATACAAACCCCGCAATCTAATTAAAATGTCAACAGGTGTCTCCCAATAAGTGAATAAAAAGGTGAGAAAATGGATACGTGAACAATTGACATGGTAGGTACGTACATTTACATACTTAACTCTGTCGACTTACAAATAAGAGAAAGCTCAAAGTATTTGTAACGGAAAACCCCTTAGGGGCTCAGCCACTTAGTCACTAACAATATGTGATCCAAACACAACAATAAATGTTTCTTTCACATACGTGCAAAGATAGATAGAGAGAGAGAGAGAGAGAGAGAGATAAAGAGAGAGAGAGAGAGAGAGAGAGAGAGATTAGGGTGACCACATTTCAAAAATGCCATTCAGGGACACTATCTTGCTCGTCCCGGACCGGACCTGGGGGAGACCTACAAAATGCAGGACTGTCCCGGGCGATCCGGGACACGTGGGCACCTTTAGATAGATAGATAGATAGATAGATAGTGATAGATAGATAGATAGATAGATAGAGATAGAGAGAGAGAGATAGATAGATAGATAGATAGATAGATAAATAGACAGATAATGATAGACAGATAGATAGATAGATAGATAGATAGATAGACAGATAATGATAGACAGATAGATAGATAGATATAGACAGATAGAGATAGATAGATAGATAGATAGATAGATAATTAGTTATAGACAGATAGAGATAGATAGATAGATAGATAGATAGTTATAGACAGATAGATAGAGATAGATAGATTAGATAGATAGATTAGATCATGGATGTCAAACTTTTGGCCCACAACTAATATGTTTGCGGCCCGCGGCGAGGGAGCGCTGAGTGTAAGCTCTGCCGGCTCGGCTTCCCGCAGTGATGCTGGGAGCCAGAATGTGACGTCACTCCGGCTCCCAGCATCACTCTGCGATGCGCGAGAGAGCTGAGCAGGAAGAGCTCAAAATCAATGCTCCCTCGCTACCTGTCCAACCCCCCTGCCTGCCTGAATGTACACCTGCCCAATAGCCCCACTGGACCCCAGGTAAGAAATCCACTCAGCTCTCCCAAAGGTATGGTGGCTAGGTGGATTTAAATTAAAATAATTTTTTTAAAAGTGTTGGGGGGAAATGTGTGTTTGTGTGTATGGCTGTCTGTGTGTATATGGCTGTCTGTGTGTGTGTATGGCTCTCTCTGTGTGTGTATGGCTCTCTGTGTGTGTGTATTGCTGTCTGTGTGTGTGCATGGCTCTCTGTGTGTGTATGGCTGTGTGTGTGCATGGCTGTATGTGTGCATGGCTGTCTGTCTGTGTGTGTGTATGGCTGTATGTGTGTGTATGGCTGTATGTGTGTGTGTATATGGCTGTCTGTGTATATGGCTGTGTGTGTGTATGGCTGTGTGTGTGTATATATATATATATATAGCTGTCTGTGTGTCTATGGCTCTCTGTGTGTGTGCATGACTGTATGTGTGTGTGTGTGTGTATGTGTATGGCTATGGCTGTCTGTGTGTGTGTCTCTCTGTCAGTGTGTGTGTGTCTATCAGTGAGCCTGTGTGTATGTGTGTGTGTGTGTGTCTGTGAGGGAGCCTGTGTGTCTGAGTGATTGTGTGTGTCTGTGAGTGTGTGTGTCTGTGAGGGAGCCTGTGTGTCAGTTAGTGTGTGTCTGTCAGTGCATGTGTATGTTGGAGTGATTCTGTGTGTATTTCAGTGTGTGTGTATGTCTGTCAGTGAGTGTGTCTCAGTGAGTGTGAGTGAGAACAGGGGCAGGGGTTTAGTAGACGGGGATTTAGTAGACGAGGGGGGGACTGGGATTTAGTAGACAAGGGGGGACTAAGATTTAGTAGATGAGGGGGGACTGGGGTTTAGTAGAGGGGGTCACAGTTTTTTTGTTTTTTTTAATGCTGTACTTTTCAAAATAAACCTAAGTTTCTATGAAAATTTACATTTTAGATTTTTTGCGGCCCACATAAACTTAAACCTTGTTTATTTGGCCCTTGCTAGCCTTTGAGTTTGACATACTTGTATTAGATAGATAGATAGATAGATAGATCTTGATTTAATAAGCTTTTCATATTATTCAATACTGTTAGAAATCTTTCTAAATATCTTATCCATAGAATTCCCCCATTCAAATCTATGGTATTTTTATAGATAAAATCATTTAGAAAGTTTTCTAACAGTATTGAATAATTTAGAAAGCTTATTAAATCAAGGCAATAGATAGACAGAGAGTGATAGTTAAATAGTTGGGTTATAATCAATTTATTTATACAGCCTTCCCATACATATGATGAAGCATCCAGTGATGTATGTCAAATGTGTGGAAATCTCAAACAGACTGTGACTTCACCCCCTTTGAGATTAGACACACCTCACTGAGAGAGAGCCCGGGCCAGGTTCCCAAATTAAAGCTGCTGAGTGGGGGTCTTGGCAGGAGAACATATGGACACAATGCCTGGCCTGCAATGAGGCAGTACAAGGAAGGCAGGAGGTAATCAGGCATTGTGGTATCAAGATAATGGGTTTAGGGGAATCCTAGTGAGAGGGATGAGAGGAGCAATCAATGGGGTGGAGAATGGGATTTACCAGTTCAGCCTCAATAATTACCTGCACACCAGGAAGGAAAGACTTTTGAGAATAGATAGGCAGGCAGCTAGGATGGATAGATAGATAGATAGATAGATAGATAGATAGATAGATAGATAGATAGATAGAAAGAGCAGGGCCCTCACCAGCTTCTGTTCCTGTACATCCAACTTGTCTGGTTGCAGCTACTTGTTTGTTATTCCACCTATTGTACAGTTAATGGATATGTTGGCTATTTATACGTAATAATAATGTATCCCAGTCCACCAACTGTCTGGGCATTGGACCTCTCCACTAGGAAAGTGCCATGGAGCCTTATGCCATAGTCAGCTTGGATGCACATATCATTCCTGAAGGGCTTCTTGCAGAACACGTCTACAATTTAGTGTAGGCCATCTGTGGATTACACTAAATTGTAGATGTGTTCTGCAAAAAGCCCTTTGGGTGAGGTGAGCAGGTATCACACCTGGGCCTTGTAATATGATCTCTGCAGGTATGAGAGCCACAATCGAACAGCTCTCACCATGAAATCTCTAGCACCTGGTGGATTGTTGGCCACTGGTTCCCAGGCAGCCAGAGGCAGCAGTGTTGGGTGTGCAGCAGTGGAGTTACTATTAATAACAGGTGCCAATAGGTCATATTCCAGCACTAGCAGCCTGTCTGATGCGTAGCAAAAGGGGGCCAAACACACACCAGGGAAATCGCAGACACCCTCTCAGTACTTCTCAGTGTAAAGTAAGGAAAGAGAATAAAATGATAACTTAGGCATACGTTTTTATGGATATCTGTTAGTATATGTTTATATATGTCTGAATGTATCCAGGTATGTTTAGTGTTTGTTTCTAGTATAGTGTGTGAGTGT